TTCCATTATAAGCGTTACTTTATGAATTACATAGCCATTTAACCAATAATTCGTAACCGGAACAAATTCTAATGCTTGCCCTAAATAAGTACACATATATTCTCCCTGACCTTTCTCTGTAACCTTACGCCAAATAAGTGAACAGTCACTCCTAACCCTCTTCTAAACTATACCTCCTTTTACTCCTGGTCCTGATAACAATACTTATTCTCCATAATTATCTCTCCATATGGGAGAAACGTCCCTATCCTAAACCCTAATAAGTATTTTTCCCTAACATTGGTGCTGTATTGGTTCCCTTATAATCAAATGCGATATATTTATGGCTTTAATAACTATCCATGTTGAAAGAGTTAAATTGCTTCTCCCTGTTGTTCTAATAGACTGAAGTGTTAATGTCCTTATTTACTCCTAGTTTTCCCCCAGTTTTCCCCTATATCTCAGTCCTTTCTCTAAATCCCTGACTTTCAAACTTTTGATTACACAAAATACACCTATAATGACCTTGATCTCCCTGCTGGAAACTGTAAATATAGATACTCAATCACCCTCAATATTCTCTTATCATTCAGCAACACATACTTTCTCAATGCATCTGCCCCTATCAGATCTAAACTCCTACCCTATCTTCCCACTAAACTTTAAAATGTCCTTCCTCACTGTTCTCTCTCTGTCTTACTACTAACTTTGAAACTTAGCTTACTGTCTCAGAGTTCTTCCAACCCTAATCTACTCCTAACTTATTTTAATCTAATCTTTTCTCTCATAACATTTAAAACCTTTTCCCCTGATTTTCACAAAATCCCTTACCACCAAATTTGTAGAATATGTGATTGGGAAAGTTCCCCACCTGCTTCTGACTCATTACACACAGACTTGGCAAAACGACTAACCACCTTTTAGCCTAGCCTGAAATCCCTTAGTGTAAGAATGTAACCCAGAATAATAATCACCCCTTTTAACTTTTCAGACAGATTGTCTTAATAGACAGTCTAGTGTACATCTTATTGTACAATTCAATTCTCTTCCCAACACTGCAATAACAGTATCTTCTAATATTAGTATGTCTATTTTGATTAACTGTTTTACTACCTCAAATCCATATCCTAATTCGTTATCAATTAGTGAGATGTTTAACCTCTTTAGGCCTAAACCCAAATAAGTTTTTCCCCTATTCACTATCACTTCTAATGGCCGGTTGTTTCAACTGTTAGCTATTTTCTCTTCTCCTCTAATCGAGGCTCTCAGCAATGCACCCCCCTTCCGGATCTTCTAGACACTAACAGGTGCCATTATGTGTCTGTCCAGAAACTGGCTTTGGATATGAATCAACTGGTACCCCCCTTGACTGGTACAATTGCATTGGATATTGTTCAGTTAAAGCTGTAACAGTGATTGTTGATTTGGTTCACTCTGATTCTTCATAACCAAAACTTATCTTCTCCACCCGTTGTATGATTGAGTTTTCAGAGTTTCTTCTTCTCCAATTCTTGGGATCCTCTCAGCAGTTTTCTTAGTCCTGTTCCTTCTCGTCGTTGACATATCAGTATTCTTCAACCTTAGTTCTAAGTTCTGTCCTCGAAATATCATCTTCCATCATCTTCTTACTTTTCTTCTGTGCCAGTCCTTGTAGGACAAACTCCTCTTGAAAATAAAGCACCTTTAATCTCCAAATCGTCATCGCTTTCTTCATCTTCAACTTCCATCAGAGATCAAATCTCGTGTACCCTTCTTCGTTTCTCTCTTGCCAACTTCCTTCTGATCACAGAGTCATATCCACCCATGACCTCTCTCAATCACTCTCATCTTCATCATCCTCATCTCCTTAAGTTCCCAGACATCCCGGTTTTCCTTCCTTCTGGAGTTTTGAATTCATCTTCATCGTCGTTTCTGCTCGTATTCGTCTTCATCTCTGATGCCATAATCACCATGCTAGATGATCACTGAAAGCTTCCTTCTCGTAAGGTGGGTGTCTTTCTGCTGAATCCATATGTGAGAAAGGTGTACTAACTTCTGCCATTAGTCTCTCCTAACACTACCTTAGTTAAATAATTACTATTTTAGTCAATTTTCCCCTATATCAACCCTTTTAAATTCCTTTATTGTGAACTATGTTATTTTAGACTGTATAGCCTCTGGCTTCCCCCCTTAAATTATTAATATAACCCTAACAACCCCCAAAAAAATAATAATAATAATAATTCTTTTTTTCCCAAAAAAAACTAAAATCAAATATGAATATTAAAAAATTCAATTAAATGCCTTATTCAAAAACCATTCAATTAAAAAATTAAAAACCAATTAAAAACTCAATTAAAAATTATGAATAATTTAAAACAAATTCTTTATTCCTATATCACCAATTTATCAATTAGTGTTGGCTATCTTACCACAACCCATCAAATGCAAGTAAATGCAAGTTAGTCATCTTCAGACTAAAATACCCATAAACAAAGCCTTCTAACCTTACAACCCTTCAATACTCCAATTCCCATAACCCCTTGCTCTATTAGCTCTAATTATCTTACATTTACAGAACAATCCTCAATCCATCCTTGATTCCCAACACATCTGTAATCAAACCCCAGTGATACAGAGCTTCCAAAATGCAATTTTTAATGAAATAGTATTTGCCAAGCCTATGTAAAATTGTCATAACATCACATATCTTTAAATTGGAAAATGTTGCAACCTAGCCTGATATCTGATCCTCTGCTGCGTCATGTGATGTCACGTCATGTGACGTCACGCCACGCACACGTCAGCCCCTCCTCTCTCTCTCGTCTCGCCTCGCCGTTCCATGTTCCTCTCATATTTCAAAAAACATAGAAACACACAAGATTTCAGCAGTTTATGCAATTAACCAAGTTATCCACATTCAATATTCGTCCGTTTTACATTCGCTCTAAGACTTTAACTCAGGACGAATTATAGATCGCTCAAAAACATTTAAAATTTTATTTTCATCCGTCATTTAATTTAATTCAATCTATTATAATCCGTTACCCTATATCTAATTTATAAATTCAATAGGTTACAAAACAAGTTTCATCTTTAACCAATCGCAGTTTAAACTAGAATCATCGTGCTAAAATTTCTCCTCTGTCTGTCTATTTTCCTTGCAGGGTAACGCCAAATGGGACCTATGACCTGTACCCCACCATTTTGTTTTGTAGGCTTAGCTCACCCTCATTTCGTAGTTTTTAGCCCCGTAAAATCAACACGTGTCCTAATCTCGTGTCATAAACTCCCCCTTTCTGTAGGGTAGTGTCGCAAAATTAAACGCATGCGCACATCCATCAAAAACACATTTTCACCTCCACTAAACGGATACCAGTCCAGCTGTACCTTTCGTTCCCCTCCTAGTCAAACAACATTTAACAGCGCTCACAAAACATACAACCTGACATACAGACAGTGACAAGTTTAAGAGACTTTAATCCATCGCAATGGAATCTCTAAGGATATCCGTTAGCATGTAGCACACCACACAATTAGCATGTAGCATTAGCATTTAGCTTAGCCCAAGGGACACTGCGACACAAAACACAGTTAGCATTTAGCCTTAAGCATTAACATTAGCATTTAGCCACGAGGCACCACGTGGCCTGAAACAATCCAGCATTAACACCAACCTCTAGCTAACTGCAGCCTACTAGCTATACAAATGAACACCCCGCACCGTGGCCAAATCATCATCATCGCAATTATCTCCGTCTAACTTTTTGTTGCCTTGAAAGATGAATCTCATATCAAGCGGTTATCCCCAACATATCTCCCGTCGGCTATAGAAGAAGTATAACATAAATACAACCATTCACTTCATAATTCCCGCTTAAGGAATCAACCTGACCCAATCTAACTAAGTCCGGATTTGTAGCCCATTCCTAAAGAATCGCCTCGATCAAGAGGTCTTTTCCGTATTCACGGTGCCCTAACTATGCAGACGTCTTCCAACATTTATCCTCTACCAATCCATTGTCACCCGTTACCAATGAATTATACACTTTCAATACTTAAATCCTACCGTTTAATGCTCTACATTCCAATTAACTGCCGTTCTTGATGGAATAAATTTTAGCAGACTCCAGTCGACCGCAATAACACCAAGGCCAGGTCATAATGGAACATCTCCTCAGTGTACACAAGTCATATCCAATCTAACAACCTCCGAAGCGGTAAGAACACTCACCCTTTTTCCATGCTTCAGAGAGAGTTAGGCCGGCGGTTGACTGAAACACAGAGGAGACGCAAACCCAGCCCCACGTTGGGCGCCATTATGTCGTATATGATGAGTGGTAGCAATTATTGCTGTCAACAAAAAGTCCGCTATGCTGCATTGTGTTAGAGGCTTTTATTAAAATCACGAATTTACAGCATAGATACAGACTCGCGATGTCCGGAGAACGGCTCCCCAGATTGCTATGGCCGTTCTGCCGTCTCATCGTTTACCCCCTATTTATAAACAATGCAAAAAGAGGAGTGACTCCCCTCTTCTGGCCAATCACCAGTCTCCCCTGGGGCATCACCCTCCCAACGCTACATTTGAACTAAGATCATAAAACAACATTCTTTGTTCCTCCAAAACATTTAACAAAGGCATAATCTTCAGATACGATACAGACAAATGTGATGTGATAAGAAAAGATGGAACTGGATTGAGGCAAAGACCAGCTTAATTTCCCCTTGGAAAATGTTGGACTCAATGTGCTAGCTACTAGCAGAGAACCTCTATGTTACCCACTGTCCTACAACAGGGAGGTATACAACTTATTAGGTGACCGAAAACAGTTTTCCCGACAGTTTGTCCACTGACTGGCCTTCCAAAACTGTGCCAACAGCTAGCCTGTGGTGCCATTTTGACAAAATAATCACAGGTGATGACTGATCAGGCTTTACCTTGTCCTCTGTCCTCTGTTGGACTCGTCTCTAAAGCCCCTGTAACACCTATTTAACGACTTCCCTCTGAAAGATGGGACCCATTTATGTCATTCAATAGGTTAAGAGGAGGACGCCAGACACTCTTTATCCTCCACCAGACACCTGCTGAGAGTCACTGTGAGGGATGGCTCTGCAGTATCTGTCTGTCTGCCATCTGAAGAGTGTGTGTGTTGCTCATTCTCCTTCTTGCGCCTCTTGTAAGGGACAGACAGTCTGACCATACCTGTCTGGACAAGAAGAAAAGGGGAAAGTGCAATGCTTGGTGAGCAACAACCGCAATTACTTTTTCATGTGTTTTCCCACACCATCATAAGGCCATGACTTCTATGATTTATTTGCGTGAACTGTTGGACAGGTTGATTTGGGTCTGTTCAAAAAAATTGTTAGAGTTCTATAAGAAATGCTTAGACAGCTGAATGTTCTGTTTCACGTGATCACCAAGCTCAGCAAAGATTGCCTTTGCTGCAGATGGCAAAAGCAGCTTATCTTCCAAACAATAAACCACTGCCCCTGAGTCTGCCCTTTATGTCTGCCAGCCTAGAGATCTGCTATAGTCAGGACATCAGAGGAAGAACCATCAAACTATCAAAAACTATCAAAAATGACACATGATTGGCTGATTGTAGTCTACTTTATGGCTGGATTGTCATGAATAAATTATACTTACCATATTAATGTTATCCCCTGCATAAGATGGACTATCCTTGGTACACTGGGAAAAAATATAAGACAGTGTGATGGGACAGAATGTGAAAGTTGAATTTCACAACTGAGCTTTTTGAAGTGGTCACCAATGGCATGGCATGCAAACCACACACTGCTGGTCTGTACCAAGCGGTCCTGTATGTTACACCTCTAACCGTGTGGCATCCTATCCCTTGAGGTTCACCTTTAGCTACCAGTATATTCAAAAGATATTCATTCACCGACGTACTTGTCTCTGCAAAGTCAACTCACTCATCAACGAGCGGTCGTCACAGCAGGCCGCACAAGTGCAAGGACAAGGAATTATCTTCCACAACACCTTCCCCCATGTATCTTGTGTCGTATCGGGAATAAAGAGATTGTGTTTGTAACTCTTATTGGGATAGTCTTCCCCACAAGTGCGACACACATCTACCACAGATTTTAAGGGTGTAGTCTTTCTTTTTCTCGGTGGAGCCATTAGCTAGCTAGCTAGCTATGTCCTTTGCTAATTAGCTAGCTGGAAGGTAGCACCTGTTTTTTTTATTTTTCCCTTGAGGCCAGGGGGAATGGTTTTCACTAGAAAGCACATCTATATCATAAAAAATTATTCCGGGTTGGGCGGGTGTTAAGGAGCCCGGTTTGGCGGGTCATGTTTCGGAGGACGCATGACTCGAACTTCACCTCTCCTGAGCCCTTGGGGAGTTGCAGTGATGAGACAATATCGCAATTGGATATCACGAAAAGGGGGGGTAAAATACACAAAATATTAACAATTAAGAAAAAAAAAATGTGGAAATGGGTATGGTTCAGAAATAATTATTGCTTTGTTAATGAGTGATGACCAGGGGGAATGTTTTTGCTAGCAAAGGAATATAAACGCAACATGCAACGATTTCGAAGATTTTACTGAGTCACAGTTCATATAAGAAAATCAGTCAATTGCCTTTTCTGCGCCTTTTCTGCGTCCATTGCAAGTGATTTTCTTTTGGAACCAAGTTACATGTTCCTCAGTACACAAATAGGCACACAACAACATTACGAGCCATACCGTGCAGTGCTGGGCCCAGTCAGGTCTTTGACACATTCACCCACTCCCCTGCTGAAAGATCATCCACAAAATGTTGGCACCATTGTAACAGGTTGTAATCAAGCCCTGGTCTCCAGCATGGGAGCAGAAGAGGAATACCTGGTGCGGTAGTCTCAGTTACTGTAGGACTACTCCAAATCATCTTGGTTCTGACACACACACGCAATAAAGGTTAACTTACTAGTTTCGTTGTCCAATGGTATCACAAGTGGGCATTTGATTTGCGAACTCCATCACGTGTGCTTACTGTGCTACAGAAACACTGCATACACACTGAATTAAAGGGTAACTACCAGTGGCGGCTCCTGAAAAAATTCTCAGGAGGGGCAATTTTTCTGATGATTTAGGTGACCTACACACATTTTAAAAAAAGATATGTCCAGCAACAACATGAAGACAGGGGCAGCATATAAGTCAATACCAGAAGCATTTATTGACTGATCTCAAAAGTGTTGGCTTACCAGGGTTGGTGGAGCCCTCAGTTTCATCTTTGCCTCGCAAAGCTAACTCAAACACTCCGCAAAACTTCACACACTGGATTAGCCGGCTGAGGATGTGGCGGTTCTTGCTAATGTCGTAGTAAATATATTTGTTATAGTGAATATGGAATATGATATGTTGAGTAAAATGTTGTGCTAAGATCTATTTAGGTCAGGAGCTGGTTATAAGTTCTGTTCCTATCCAATAACAATGGACAAAAGGGTCCTATCTTGTCAGCCTTGTCAGCAGGTGGCCAAGGACAACACCCACGCCATAGGCCTCTCAGTTCTTCCAACTCACAAGTTCTTGCTCTGAGGACACACACACACACAAACACACACACACACACATCATCACTGTTAAACACACACACACACACACACATCATCACTGTTAAACACACACACACACACACACAAAAATCCCCTCTCTTAGGCTGAACATTTGAAGACAGAGAACCCGACTCAGAGCCAATGCAACAGTGACAGTAGCCTGGAGGTGACCTCGCCCAACTCATCAGGACCAATCAGAAGATCAGAACTACTAGATTGAACCTACTTCATTTATTGCATAAAATGTCTGCACACAATGTTTCGGGGCTCTCTTCAGATAATAATAATAATAATAATAATAATAATAATATGCCATTTAGCAGACGCTTTTATCCAAAGCGACTTACAGTCATGCGTGCATACATTTTTGTGTATGGGTGGTCCCGGGGATCGAACCCACTACCTTGGCGTTACAAGCACCATGCTCTACCAGCTGAGCTACAGAAAGTGGATACTCATGGATGCGCATTGCAATTGTAAAATGTCAACACAATTGGAGACACCACGTCATTTTTGGAGACATGTTATTGACAGTAAACTATTGTAGATGCGACTGCTAACTAAATAAAACATTTTAGCTGGCTAGCTAATCATCTTAGCTAAATGTGGGGCAAACAATTCAGTTATTTACCGTTAATTTGAGGGATTGGGGTGAAAGAAATCGAGTTACATAGTGATACTTTACGATATACTGTATTGACAATATCGCAATATTTTAGCGCTAGTTGGCTGTACCTGCACCAAAACACCATTATTGTTCCTTCATAGCTTGTTCTCAATCTTTTCACATTGGGAGCCAATTAGTTTTCAGCACTTTTATTTCCATGACTGATCAAAACTCGTTCTCATGGCTTTCTGATCCCTCTGCAACAGACATATGGTGCGCAATAAAATCACAGTATCGAATCGCAATACGTATAGAATCATGAGACTCGCAATGCTGATGCATATATCTTATCGTGAGGTTCCTGGCAATTCCCAGGCCAAGTTCATTTGCCACAACAAATCTCTTCGCTAGCAAACGCGATGTCTTCTCCAAAACGACAATGTGTCTCCAGCAATGTTTACTTTTTTGACGTTCTATGGCATCTCCACTTTCCAAGCATATATGACCACATGTAATATTTTGGTAAGTGATGCAAATAGTGAACTATGTAGGGCCAGGATGTAAAATATATGTAGCTGCAGCAATTTCTCTTATCTGATATGGTAAGTAATGGTGCTTAATTTATAGCTCCCTAAGAGTTTGACGAACGGGTCCGTGAACGCGATTACAGATATATTTACCTCTGAATAAACTGCCTTTATTACACCATATCCACATCCAGTAAACTTGTGATTATCAACACTAACCTCATCGTTGTGGCGGCGGACAGCTAGCCTGTATCCCTCGTCATCCAGTTGAGTGAGTGGCAATGTCTTTTTTCGTTCGTACCAATTTTTGGAAAATCCTCGGGTGTAGGACTTTCCGCCTTTAGTAGAAACCTGTTGAATTATTAAATTTGGTCTGGGAGGTCCTAATTGTTTCGTTGCCAATTTATCTTAATTTGTTCGCCGACAAAAAGGAACTTCTTTCAAAGACACAATCGAGTTGGACTGAAGCCTAGCCATTTTGATAGTAGTAGTGAATTGATTGAGGCTGCTACCTGGTCTTTTCTTAGTTACGTTCATTCGTGGTTACGTTATGTATGACGAAAGCGCGTAAGTGCAAGCCCACAGACACCCATAGAGAATGTATTGAAAGCTTTGAAATGTGAAAAAAATAGATTTTACATGACAGGCTATGAGAGACTTCTGGGCGATTTTCAACCTGACTGAAATCGCCCAAAAAACGGGCGGGGCCATTTGAAGCACGACTTTAGCCTGATTTGACATTTAGTGGCTGTCAGATCAGACGTGAACACTGATAACTGCTGTTGCCGTGATATAATTTTTTATAAATTTATAAAAAAAAAATATATATATTTTTTTTTTAATAATTGATTAGAAAAAAAATCCCTTCCTTTTCCCGTTTGGCAGTGCGTCGCCCATATCGCCCTATTGAACAAGCCGTCCCTGGAAGGGGATAAATAATTTAATTCATTTTAGAATAAGGCTGTAACGTAACAAAATGTGGAAAAAGTGAAGGGGTCTGAATACATTCTGAATGCACTGTATAGTGTATTCAAGTAGTCAAAGTGTAGTTTGGTCCCACATTCCTAGCACACAATGACTACATCAAGGTTGTGTCTCTACACACTGGTTGGATGCATTGTTTTGGTTGAGTTTCAGATTATGTTTTGCCCAACAGGAAGTGAATGGTGAAATCTTTCTAAGATAGATAAGATGTATCTGAACACTTTAAATTAATCCTGATAATGCCAGGAATTAAACATGAATAATGATGAGCGAGAAGGCTACAACAAAACATGCTAACCTCTCACCATTGTCAATAACAGGGGAGATTAGCATTTTGTGGGGGATTTGATATTTGTCTGTCTGTAACTTTCTCACTTTTTATCATTCACAATTCATTCATGATTATCCATAATCATGGTAACATCCACAATAATGTAGATGTGTTCAGAAAAAGAGTATATTCTTAATTAAAATAAAAGTGACCCCAAAATGACCCAATACATTATTCACTATTCACTTCCTATTGGGCAAAACATTTCCGAAACCCAACCAAAATGAGCTGTAAATGCATCCAACAAATGTGTAAAGTCATAAGCTTGATGTTGTCATTGTGTGTAAGAAATATAGGACCAAATACTAAACTTTTGACTACTATAGAGATGCACTATGCAGATATCGCTCTGACATTTCCTGGTTGATAAAATTTGAATAGTTCACCTAATTTCAGTTTTTGTGACAAAACAAACAAGTATAGTGTAGAGAATCATTGTAGCATCTAAACCACTGTGAAAAATCTTCTCCATAACCAACAATATTGTATTTTCAGCTGTTTGAAGCTGGTCTACAAAACCAAAAGTAAAAGTCTCAAAAACGAAACTTAAGAACGGGAAGAATAGAAATAGCGCACATAGAACAGATCTACCACTTCTTAGACTTGATTTCAATGGGATTGACAGATCTATAACTATACATTTCTATGTGAATTTGGTCAGGTCGCCCAAAAAGGTACATATTGCAGCTTTAATATACTATAGGTGAATTTTGTCCAAATAGGATATCTTCAAATGGGGGTACTGAATATGTTACCATGACAAATGCAGTGCTTTCATTATTAAACGGTAAAACAGAAATGTATGAAAATACCCTCAAATGAAACATTAGATCTCAAATCCAAGATGCTGGAGTGTAGGGCCAAAGGTAACATTTTTGCTTCACTTTCCAAATACATACAGAGATGAGTGTATATACCAGGAGTACTCAAGTACTATTTGAGAAGGTCCCGTCACACAAATGTTCTAGGTGGCCAAGGTCGGGATGGATATTGTCATTTATTGGCGTAGTAACAAACCCCCACCTCGCAACCCATGTGACCCAAAACTGTTCTAACTGTTCATACCCCTCTTTTTGGTGGAGAGAACGTTTTGCTGTTTTAAAGCTAATTTTGTGCAATTCTACACATTTTGCCATGTGGCAGAGAGAACATGTTGCTGTTTTAAAACTCATTTCCTGCAATTCTACAGATTTGTCCGTGTCTTATGTGTGTTTATATTATACCAGGGGTTGAAGCCCGACAGAGTTCCAAAAATAAATAAAAAGTGCCATCAGAGCCTGTCACTGCTGACAGACTGTGGGCTGAGTGGGCTGGCTTGCTCACCTGGATGAGGCACTGCAGTGGACACCCTGCATAGCGGATGCTTCTCTTCCAGTCCTTGCTGCTCGCCTGGCCTGACATGCCCTCAAACTCAGTGGGCGTGTACCAGTGGTTGCTGTGCTTGATGCAGCGTCCCTTTCCACCTAGTTGTCAGTGGATTGGACAGGCAGCAGAGACAAGACAAGAGAACATGGCAACAGTTATTTAAATGGAGATAGGCATGTGAAGTTAATTATTAAGACTATAATAGCCCCTTCATTCACCATAACCCATGTATTCTCAAGTTGAGGGAAGAATATATGGCTTCTTTCAGACAGCTTTCATCAGCTGGGTTTGTTAAAAATAGTCAACTCCATAGTGGAGAACCTATCACCACTTTCACCCCTATTCCCTGCCACTCCTCAACTTTGTCTAAAAACAAATCTGTGTTTACACTCATTTCTACTTCCAGTCGTGATACTGCAATTACTGGTAATCAGAGTGGCCACGGTCTCCAGCCAGGGCAGAGGAAAGCGATGGAGCTGTCCTCATCTTTAAACCAAGAGCTCCACTTTGTGGCCACACCTACACCTACATGAGACCAGTCTGATTTTGTACAGCATGCCGCTGGTGTTCATGCAGCACACTGGCAGCTCGTCGGGTCCGTGGAGTGGAGGGAGTCTGGGGTCCTGGGGATGACAGGATAATATACAACACTTAAGTTACCATGACACCTGACATTTCTTTTTGTAACTAAGATTCCCTAGAGCACACCAGAGGTCATGGCGGCTGCAGCGTTCTTCAGCCCTGTTGTGTCCACTATGCTCCCATCAGTGTGAACCACTATCAGAGTGGCCTTCTGGGGATTGACACCATTGCCATCTGTATGGTGGTCCTGCCAGTCTGTCATGTGAGAGAGGAGCAGAGAGAAACATCTGTGCTGCTGGGGAGGTTATGTGACATGTGGGTCTGGTTTTCCATGGTCTGTTTCTTTTCAGATAAGCGGTTGAAAAAAATAGAACAAATAGGCTAGCCCCTAGACGTTATAGGCCTAGCCTAGTGAGTGGTAGCTAGGGGAAAGTGGGGGTGAGTTGAGCATTTTTTTTACATTCAGCATCTGTCCGTCAAAGGAAATATAGCATTCTTTCTAACAAAGATATCTATATATATTTCAGGATGTTTTGTATCCCTGGAAATAATCAGAATTCAAATAAACATTACAGTTTTGAAAACATAGCTTGTCCAAAAACAGCGGTCTCTTTGAACAACTTACCCCAGGTATGGGGTAAGTTGATCCGTGGGACAGGAGAATTTCTGTACTGCATAAAATATTACAACTACCTTTTTAAAACCATGTCTATCTTTATTTCCCAAACACAATTCAACACAATCAAAATCACTTTTTTGTCTTTTAATCATTTTAAGCATCTTTTAACACCTAACAAACTTTTTTTAAACACTTTTAACATAGGCCAGGCACTGTTGTTACCTCATATCCCAGCAATAATGCCTTGCATTACATCTGGGAAGAAAACACTTCAATTTGCTCAACTTGCCATTCGCTCAACCATTGGCTCAACTTACCCCAAGGCAAACATTTTTACTATATTAGTCCTTACAGCTACAAGGATACACTTTCATGCTAGGTTTAGGACCTCATATTGAAGCTTATAGAGACCCCAACTGATGTATAGAACAATCTTAAAATTATATTTGTTGGTTTAGATTCAAGCATCATGAAAATCTGTTTTTGTAACTAACTTGTTTATCACTTTTTCCCTGGGGTTTCTTCCTTCACAGACTCCATGAAATGATGACCTCTTCCTAAATAGTTGGTCAAAGGATTCATTTTGTTTATGGTTTCCTAGAAACAAGGGTGGCTCAACTTACCCCTTCGGCTTAGTTTACCCCACTCTCCCCTGAGGGCAAATTAATGGAATAGGAACTACAACTGTTAAATGCTTGTTTTGGGGTCTAGTGTGGCAGATACTGGTATCCAATACAATTCCGTTACTAGGCCAAGACCACAAGATATTCAGATTTTAAAAGTCCATCATGTGAGAACTTACAAGAACATGCTCAGGGATGGAGGCTGAGGTGGCCACGGTTGTGGTCTAGGCCTAGTAGGGCTCTGTGCATGCCAGTCAAGTTCTTCCACACTGATCTCGACAAAACATTTCTGTATGGACCTCGCTTTGTGCACAGGGGCATTGTCATGCTGAAACAGGAAGGGCCTTTCCCAAACTGTTGCCACAAAGTTGGAAGAACAGAATCATCTAGAATGTCATTGTATGCTGTAGCATTAAGATTTCCCTTCACTGGAACTAAAGGGCCAAGACCGAACCGTGAAAAACATCCCCAGACCATTATTCCTCCTCCACCAAACTTTACTGTTGGCACTATGCATTGTGGCAGGTAGAGTTCTCCTGGCATCCACCAAACCCAGATTTTCTGTCGGACTGCCAGATGGTGTAGCGTGATTCATCACTCCAGAGAACATTGCTCCAGAGTCCAATAGCGGCAAGCTTTACACCACTCCAGCCGACGCTTGGCATTGCGCATGGTGATCTTAGGCTTGTGTGTGGCTGCTTGGCCATCGAAACCCATTTCATTAAGCTCCCGATGAACAGTTCTTGTGCTGACGTTGCTTCCAGAGGCAGTTGGGAACTCGATAGTGAGTGCTGCAACCGAGGACAGGTGATTTTTACATGCTACGCACTTCAGCACTCAGCTGTCCCGTTCTGTGAGATTGTGTGGCCTACCACTTCGCGGCTGAGTCACTGTTGCTCCTGGACGTTTTCACTTCACAATAACACCACTTACAGTTGACCGGGGCAGCTCTAGCAGGGCAGAAATTTGACAAACTGACTTGCTGGAAAGGTGGCATCTTATGACAGTGCCATGTTGAAAATCACTGAGCTCTTCAGTAAGACCATTCTACAGCCAATGTTTGTCTATGGGGATTGCATGGCTGTGTGCTCGATTTTATACACCTGTTGTGGCAAAAATAGCAGAATCCACTCATTTGAAGGGGTGTCCACATACTTTTGTATATATAGTGTATATTATGTCAATCAGCGTAGGTGGGTAATCTTTAGTCACTGATTGGTTAATCCTTTACGATTAATTACTTTACCCTGTTGAACTTTACCTGACAGTTAGGGTGGATTGGAAGTAGACAAATTAATATTGGACGAGTTGGACAGGGTTGTGAAGGATGGTGCCCAGAAGGATTTCTGGGTAGGGGACATGGCGTCCATCGAGAGGGCAAGAGTGAGATGTATATTAGGAGAAGTGCAATATTATCATAAGGGGAAGTTTGCTTGGAATACGGAGGAGGAATGGAGGGAAAAAGAGAGGCATAGGAGGTCAAAGAGAGTGAGGGAGGTAGAGGTTGAGATTGGATCGGTTGAAGATGGTGGAAAAAAGGGAAATGGTTTGTCGAAAAAGAATGGAACGTGTAAGCAGAGTGAGGCGTACGTCGGATTGAGGTCTGGAGGCAAAATAGATGTGAATGAGGGCAAATTATCGGGGTTGCAGGTGCCCGAGGCTTGCACTGATGGTCAGGAAAAATAGTCTGTGATGGTAGGAGTGACATATTTGGAGAAAGTGGACCCCTGCCTTTTGGCTGATCCTAATGTGGTTTCACGGTGGGTGAAAACGGAGTTGGGTGCTGTGGAATCGGTGAAGGTAACCGGAAGTAGTTTTGTGATAATTGTTTGTGTTTCTGCTGGACAGAGGGAGCGGGCACTCCGCATCACACGAATGGAGACAAGATCTGTGACTTGTTTTGCTCTCAAGAAAAGGGCACCATTGAAAGGAGTGATTACTGGGGTAGCTGTAAATGTGAAAGTGGACCAACTGAAGGGAAAGATTCCCGATGTTTGTGATGCTCGTCAGTTAGTGCGACGGAGATAGGGTGGCGTGAGTGGTGAAACAGAAGAGTCATTGTCTGTTCTTTTGAGTTTTGATGTTGAGTCTTTGCCTGACAAAGTGATTATTATTATATTATTATTATTTTAGGATATTTCAGTTTTTATGCCGAATCCGTTAAATTGTTACAGGTGTCAAGCTTATGGGCATGTGGCAGCAGTGTGTAGGAGGGAGGTTCCTAGATATGAGAAGTGTGCAGAAGGGCATGAGACAAAGGAATGTCTAGTATTGGGGAAATAAGCGGTATGTGTTAATTGTAGGAGTGCCCATGGGTCTGGGGATCAGAAGTGTCCAGTGCGATAGAGGCAGGTTGAGGTTGCCAGGGTTAGAGTAGTGCAGAGAGTGTCATATGCTGAGGTATTGAAGAAAGTAGAGGAAGATTGGTCAAAGGGGAGGGATCCTGAGAGGATTTGTGTGAGTAGTAGATCTGTGCCAGTACAGAGAGATAGGCTAATGAGTGATTTATGCTTCAATAAGTTTGGCTTTTTAACGTTCATAGCAATGGTTATCAACTCTACCGCAGGGATGGAACATAAGTCACAGAAAATAGAGGTTGTGGTGGCAGCTGCAGAGAAGTATTTGGGTGTACGAGATCTGACGTCAGAATAGTTACAGGGTGTGTTGAGTGGTGGTGTCCCGTCCTTCCAGGCAGTTGGCCTGAGGTAGGACTAGACATGTTTAAATAGTGGAATAGGTTGGTCCGTTTTTTTAATGAGTGTAGGGTTAGATGGCAGGGTATTTTTTATTGATTTATTTAATTGTTTCCCTTTCCCTTTTTTCCACGCAAAGTCTAAGGTATTTATACCCCAGTCTAGTTGGTGGAGGTAACGCAACATTTATTGGATGCCAACCGCCATTAAACCTCATCGAAGAAGAAGAAGAAGACAGTTAGGATGGAGCTAGGTATGCCATACCTCTGTGTAGGGGTGTGCCGAGTAGTCGGACAAAACAAATATCTTAAAGGTGCAATATGCAGAAATCGCTCTGCCATTTCCTGGTTGCAAAATTTCTAATAGTTCTCCTAATTTCAGTTTATGTGGCAAAACAAGCAAGTGTAGATAATCATTATCCCATCTAAAATATATATTTTCAATAACCAAAAATATTGTATATTCAGCTGTTTGAAGCTGGTGTACAAAACCGAAAGTAAAAGAAGCAAAAACTAAACTTAATCATGGAAAGCATAGAAATAGTGAATGTAGAACAGATCTACTGCTTCTTAGACTTGCTTTCAATGAGCATGACAGATCTATAACTGACATTTCTGTGTGAATTTGGTCAGGTCGTCCAAAAAGTTACATATTGCAGCTTTAACGGATATGGGCAATTGTCCTGATATGATTATGATTAACCCGAGTATATTTTGTTATTATCCGTGATTCGGTCTGATCATCATTAAATGTTGTTTGCTAGCAAGCAATAGAGAGAAATAGTAATGGCGTCTTTTTTTTAGGCACTAACTCTGCCATGGTCCGTTGGACAAAGCCTATGGGGAAATTAATGCAGTTTGTGTAGGGTTTTTGGATAAACGCCGTAAATAAGGTCTGTGGTAAACACAGGCTTAGGAGGTCTTATACGTTTTGTTCTATGAGATCATCTTCATCAGCTAACGTCACTTTTTGTGAATTCTGAAGCAAAAAAAAGCACATAAAGGCTTCATAATTCATAAAGGTCATGTTAACTGACTGATATTATCTCATAGAACAAAACGTATAAGATCTCCTAAGCCTGTGTTAACCTCAGACCTTAGATTTGGCTTTTATCCCAAAACCCTATTCTTTCCCCATTCATTCCATAGGGATGCCTGAACGAACTAGAGGTAACTAACTAATTTAGGACTACAAGCTGGCGAGCTCTATGTGCATAGATAGTATCTAACAAGCGGAGCGAAGGTAGGGAAAAAATATATAATGCCGATGCGCATTTTGACAGAGTGACAGCAAACAGCAAAAGTTGAGGACAGCATAAGTTGGACACAGACACACAGTTTCAACAAGATTCCACAGCCACAAAGTCAAAATTGGCTATATTGTAAAAATTCATTAAACATTTTTTTTACTTTTTGGTCTTAATTTAAGGTTATGGTTAGGCATAAGGTTAGCAGTGTGGTCAGGGTTGGGTTTAAAATCAAATTTTAGGAAAAGAAATAGTAGATTTGGTGTAAATTAGTGACACTTCGCTACATATCAAACCAATCAAATGCCTTGCTTGGGCAAAGCTCCAATAGTGCTCACTAGATTAGTGTCGTAGAGAGATACTGTATGAGAAAGCAAAAAAAAAAAAGGGTGGGGGGGGGGGGGGGGGGGGGGGGGGGGGGGCAGGTGGGGGGAATTGCCTGTATACATTTGACATGGAAATGCCCTATTCACGTCCATTCATTATTTGGCTCGGTACCTGGTTTCCTTCAGACAAGTCCCATGACACTTGTGGGGGTCGTAGAGCACCATCGTGTTCGTGAGAGTCGCATCTGTCCATAGAGGGGTCAAATTAATTTTTTAGGTCAAACCGTTCAGACGCTTCAGATGTTTTTGTGAGAAGACCGATTTTCGAGATGTCTCCTGATCTGGTAAACACCGCTGTAGCCCTGCCACCTTCCACCGCACATGAGGAAGGTCGACATCAGCGGATGCGGTGGATTGAGACACAGCCCATGCAAAAAAACAGATTTTGATGGGTATTTTTAAATAATCATTTTATTATGCCTCGAGCAGAGAATGGGGGAGGCCTCAAGAGGAGAAATTACTGTTTTTTTTTGTTTGTTTTTTTATGCCCAGCTCTTGAGGCCCCTTGATGATGTGAGGCCTGAGGCAATTGCCTCTTCTGCCTAACGGTAAATCCACCAGTGGTCACTACTTTTGCCTTACAATCTTGCACAAGGGCTTTGAACCAATGACCCACTTAACCTTGCCAAATTGAATTGATTGACATAGCCCTTGCAATTCTGGAAAGAGTGGCCATGAAATGAAAAAGGCCATGAAATTCGGAAATGTATCATGTGATAAAGCACCATTATGAAATGATAAATGTTCTAATGAAAAAATCTATTTTATTATGAAATTAAATGTTGTAACATTATTTTTGAAAAGTGACATGAAAGAATATCTATTTCAATATTCTTCAATCATTTCACAACAAAATCGCATATTTAATTGGGTATTCATTTATTCATTTATTCATTTTTTTATTTCATCTGGACTATGTGGTATTTAATTATTTATTCATTTATATATTCATTTATTTACATATTTCATTTTGAGTACTTTGGTCTTCCATAGAAATTAGGCTACTTTCATTACATAAAGATTGCTGACATGGCCTCATACGGAACTAAATTGATGCGCCCAGGTAGTAGGCCTAATTTTTCTACCTACACCTAGGGAAAATCGCAATTGCATTTCCTTGATTCCTCACATCCTCGCATCCTCTTTCCTCGCCTCCTGAAAACCCATTGGATGAGAAGGTGCATTGCATTAGCTACAATACAATAGATAGAGGCCAAACTGATAAGCTGTTACTTTGTCTTTTATCTATTATAGTGTGAGTAGAATGAACATGGATGAATATTGAGTATAAGCTCTTGGGACTTTATGACATTCTTTCTGAATAAACCTAATGGAAAGCTTTGCAGAAGTTGCAATGAAGACTCTTCAAAGTCTGTTTTTGTCATTTTATTTATTTATATATCTACATGATGCATTTTATAAGATTTTTACAGTAGTAGGTCAAATTGTTTCTAGATTAAGTAATTTACAAGTTCGTCTCCTTGCATTTCAGTTTACCTTATACAGAATAAAGTGGAGAAAGATAAAGATATGATGCAGTCTACACACCATAACGGACGAGGTCACCGTCAAAAAAATATGTTCACAGACCTTAGTCAAGGACCTCACATAATCAGAAAGTCATGTTAGAGATGGACAGGGAAGGTCATGCAGCAGAGGCGCCCAGAGGAAGGACTGGGTTAGTGGATGTCTTTAAGATTTTCTCTAAGGTCCCATACGAGAGACAGCTAAGCCTGACTTTCAAGTTGGGTGGCAGCCTGGCCAAGGAGCTGGTCCATGCCATCTCTCATCAGCCTCAGAAAGAATCCAGAGGCACTGGACAAGCTCCAGGCTTTGGGGGACAACAACATCATTGCTAACTATCTGGCTAAAAAGGTGAGAGCGTGTGGAGTCAATTTGGAGGATGTAATAGTGAGCATTGTTCCTTTCCAAGAGTCTACCTTAGTAGACCTAGCGAGGATCATCAAGGTGTTGGCTGAGGAGAGGTTGTGTGACACATCTCTGAGGCATTTGGCTTACTAGACAGCTCTAGCCACATACAAGCACAAGACAGTGGTAAATAGAGTTCAGAATCAGGATACATACAGATGGAGTTGCTTAGAGAGGCTAAGAGGGTCTAATGGCCTCAGATTGAGGAAACAGTTAGGGGGACGTGTTTCCTTAAGGAGTCCCTGTCAGGTTTTTGCTCCATCCCCCCACTGCACCAAGGGAGCAAAGTTTTACAAATATCAGGCCTTCTTTACCAGACAGGAAGTGGTCACAGTCCGCCCTCCTACCTATGGGACGACATCTCCATATACAGTGGGGGAAAAAAGTATTTAGTCAGCCACCAATTGTGCAAGTTCTCCCACTTAAAAAGATGAGAGAGGCCTGTAATTTTCATCATAGGTACACGTCAACTATGACAGACAAAATGAGAAAAATAAATCCTGAAAATCACATTGTAGGATTTTTTATGAATTTATTTGCAAATTATGGTGGAAAATAAGTATTTGGTCAATAACAAAAGTTTCTCAATACTTTGTTATATACCCTTTGTTGGCAATGACACAGGTTAAACGTTTTCTGTAAGTCTTCACAAGGTTTTCACACACTGTTACTGGTATTTTGGCCCATTCCTCCATGCAGATCTCCTCTAGAGCAGTGATGTTTTGGGGCTGTCGCTGGGCAACACGGACTTTCAACTCCCTCCAAAGATTTTCTATGGCGTTGAGATCTGGAGACTGACTAGGCCACTCCAGGACCTTGAAATGCTTCTTACGAAGCCACTCCTTCGTTGCTCGGGCGGTGTGTTTGGGATCATTGTCATGCTGAAAGACCCAGCCACGTTTCATCTTCAATGCCCTTGCTGATGGAAGGAGGTTTTCACTCAAAATCTCACGATACATGGCCCCATTCATTCTTTCCTTTACACGGATCAGTCGTCCTGGTCCCTTTGCAGAAAAACAGCCCCAAAGCATGATGTTTCCACCCCGATGCTTCACAGTAGGTATGGTGTTCTTTGGATCCAAAAATGTCACCCTGTCATTGGATTTAGGTTAAGAGTTGAGTGACAAAAATACAAAATGCCCTTACATTTATGACTTTTTTCAAATCCAATCAGTTTTCCACGTTGATTCAACGTCATCACATTGAATTATGTGGAAACAACATTGATTCAACCAGTTTTTGCCCAGTGGGTGGGTATAGGTGTGACGAGGTGTGAATGAAGGAGTCAGGCGCAGGAGGTAAAATACCAAAGTCCAGAGTTTATTCCGTTTACGTAAATCAAACGCCCAAAGCGTCAAACGAAACTATACAAGGGAAAACATCCACCTTGGCATAAACACAGCGAATAGTAGCTCAATCGAGCTACACGCTCTCACAACAAACAATCACTCACAAAGACAAGGGGAACAGAGAGAACACTTATACACATACTAATTAGGGGAATGAGCACCAGGTGTGTGTGATTGACAAGACATGACAAGTGGAGTGATGAGAATGGGATTGGCAGTAGCTAGTACTCCGGTGACGACGAACGCCGAAGCCTGCCCGAACCAGGAGGGGGGGCAGCCTCGGCGGAAGTCGTGACAATAGGTGGGGATAGATTAAATGTTTTTGACAAAAGAAAACTGCCAATATCTACATTTTTTAAACTATCAAGGATAACACAATAATTACTTATTTCCATTGTGGTCCTTTTATTTACCTTCACAAAGAACTCGTTCAGGGACAGGTTGTGCCTCATGCTGTTCCTCCAGCCCTGGCCCTGACCCCCCGACCCCCGGGCCCTGAAGTAGGGGAACCCCTCCTCCATGGCGCTGTAGATGGAGGCCAGGTTCAGCTTCCCGAGAGGAGGAGGAGATGATGTTTTTGGCGATCAGTGCGATGTAGGAGAGCGAGGGCTTTGCAGAGGGCTCTGGGTCGCCATGTTTTACGTCCTCACCGTCACAGGTGTTGTTGCTGTCTGAGGGCGGGTCGGACTGAATGTCACCCAGCAGGCTGGATGTTTCTGTGGGGATGTCATCACAAAGAGTGCTGAGGTCTGTCTTGAGGAACTCACTCTTTACTGGAGCAATTTCTGCATCTCTGCCTGACACTGACCCCAACTCTTCTATCTCTGTCTCCTTGGAAATTAGTCCTCCAGCCTCTCCACCTGCCTATACCTCTCTGACCATCCCTTCTACTGGCTCCACTTCTAACTTCTCTTTTTCTATGTCCATATCTGTGTTTGTCATAACGTTCAGTTGTCAGCTTTGCAGCTTTGCAGCACAAATTATGTAATGTTCCACTTAGTGCCGAGTTTGTCATTCTGAGAGAAAAAAAGGCTTCTAATATTTGAAACATTTTGGGGCGTGTTGGCAGTTAAACTGAAGTGTCTATCGAAGGAAAATCACCTTTATAACGAAACATGTTTTATCCAATATTTATTACATGATTATCCCTTTGACCCTTATTAGGAGAAGTCGATGAATATAACATTACACATAGGAGACAACAAACTATCCTAGAAAACGTTTGTTTTGGTTCAAATATAGTATTTTGTGACAGACTTAACCAAGGTCTTGTTCTGGGTGCTGAGATTAGTTTGAATCAAATAGCAAAGTTACTTAAGGTCAGCCTATAACTCAAATGTTTGACTATTTATATCATTGTTGTGAAGCAGTGTCTCAAAGAAGAGCCATTGAGAGGAATTTCTCAGTGTTCTCCTGAGGCCACACTGCATAGTTGAAGTCCCTTCTGACCTATTTATAGTGCTGGCCCTCGCTACAATGTCATCTGTAACTCGACTCCATCTGTTTAGTCACAACATGTTGAATGTCAGTTGCCAGAGAGGCAGAGAACTCGGCTCTGCGATTCCCCTTCACTCTGTCACTAGACAGCCCAATGGAGTCTGCTGCGGTTGAACCAAGACCCACTGGGGTCAGCAGCCTCCTGGGTGTCCCAGGGCTCATCACCTGGGACGGGGATGAGGCAAACGACGCGGAGGTGATCGGTGGCATCAGGCCCAGGTCCTCCCCTCTCCCACGGAGAAGGAGCGCCAATGACTTAAAGGACTGTGAGCTCGAGCTGACACCGTCAAGCTCCAGGAGGGTGTCCTTTGCGGACGCCCTTGGCCAAAACCTGGTGAACGTGAAAGAGTTTGACTCGTGGGACATGACCATCCCACTGAATTTCGACGCGCTTGAGGGAGTGAAAGAGGTAGAGGAATATTACTTGTCCTCCTTATACACTCCTCCACCGTCCGAAGAAGCAATGGTCCTGAGAGTTCATGAGCAGAAGCTAGTGCTGGCGAGCATTGAGTTACTCCACGGGACTACGATACTGAGGGGGGTGGTCCGCGTTCTCAATGTCTCATTTGATAAGATGGTGTACATCCGCACCTCTCTGGATGCCTGGGCCACGCACTTTGACCTGCTGGCAGAGTATATACCAGGGTCCAGCGACGGAGACACTGACTGTTTCTCATTCAAGCTCACCCTGGTGCCCCCATTCGGGGAAAAGGGGGCCAGAGTGGACTTCTGTCTCCGGTACGAGACCCCTGTTGGGACTTTCTGGGACAACAATAGTGACCGGAACTATGTGATGTTTTGTCATCAGAAAGTCAAAGAGCTGAAAGATAAACCACAAAAATACAAAAACGGGCGTAGGAAAAGCATCCTGAAAGCCAACATGTGAGGATGATCAGATTAATCAAGGCAGGCTTGTATTGAGTGTGTGTAGATTGATGGAATGATTTAATGCTAGTACTTTTTTGAAAATGTGTGGTCCAGTCCAGTGGTCCAGTCTTGTGAAAGCTATGATGCTTTCACATTGATAATGCCTCACCTCAAAATACACAGTTTTACATATACAGTGGGGAAAAAAGTATTTAGTCAGCCACCAATTGTGCAAGTTCTCCCACTTAAAAAGATGAGCGAGGCCTGTCATTTTCATCATAGGTACACGTCAACTATGACAGACAAATTGTGGGAAAAAAAATCCAGAAAATCACATTGTAGGATTTTTAATGAATTTATTTGCAAATTAGGGTGGAAAATAAGTATTTGGTCACCTACAAACAAGCAAGATTTCTGGCTCTCACAGACCTGTAACTTCTTCTTTAAGAGACTCCTCTGTCCTCCACTCGTTACCTGTATTAATGGCACCTGTTTGAACTTGTTATCAGTATAAAATACACCTGTCCACAACCTCAAACAGTCACACTCCAAACTCCACTATGGCCAAGACCAAAGAGCTGTCAAAGAACACCAGAAACAAAATTGTAGACCTGCACCAGGCTGGGAAGACTGAATCTGCAATAGGTAAGCAGCTTGGTTTGAAGAAATCAACTGTGGGAGCAATTATTAGGAAATGGAAGACATACAAGACCACTGATAATCTCCCTCGATCTGGGGCTCCACGCAAGATCTCACCCCGTGGGGTCAAAATGATCACAAGAACGGTGAGCAAAAATCCCAGAACCACACGGGGGGACCTAGTGAATGACCTGCAGAGAGCTGGGACCAAAGTAACAAAGCCTACCATCAGTAACACACTACGCCGCCAGGGACTCAAATCCTGCAGTGCAAGACATGTCCCCCTGCTTAAGCCAGTACATGTCCAGGCCCGTCTGAAGTTTCCTAGAGTGCATTTGGATGATCCAGAAGAGGATTGGGAGAATGTCATATGGTCAGATGAAACCAAAATAGAACTTTTTGGTAAAAACTCAACTCGTCGTGTTTGGAGGACAAAGAATGCTGAGTTGCATCCAAAGAACACCATACCTACTGTGAAGCATGGGGGTGGAAACATCATGCTTTGGGGCTGTTTTTCTGCAAAGGGACCAGGACGACTGATCCGTGTAAAGGAAAGAATGAATGGGGCCATGTATCGTGAGATTTTGAGTGAAAACCTCCTTCCATCAGCAAGGGCATTGAAGATGAAACGTGGTTGGGTCTTTCAGCATGACAATGATCCCAAACACACCACCCGGGCAACGAAGGAGTGGCTTCGTAATAAGCATTTCAAGGTCCTGGAGTGGCCTAGCCAGTCTCCAGATCTCAACCCCATAGAAAATCTTTGGAGGGAGTTGAAAGTCTGTGTTGCCCAGCGACAGCCCCAAAACATCACTGCTCTAAATGAGATCTGCATGGAGGAATGGGCCAAAATACCAGCAACAGTGTGTGAAAACCTTGTGAAGACTTACAGAAAACGTTTGACCTGTGTCATTGCCAACAAAGGGTATATAACAAAGTATTGAGAAACTTTTGTTATTGACCAAATACTTATTTTCCACCATAATTTGCAAATAAATTCATTAAAAATCCTACAATGTGATTTTCTGGAAAAAAAATCTCATTTTGTCTGTCATAGTTGACGTGTACCTATGATGAAAATTACAGGCCTCTCTCATCTTTTTAAGTGGGAGAACTTGCACAATTGGTGGCTGACTAAATACATTTTTTCCCCACTGTATATAGATATTATTGCTTCCGAAAAATAAACCAACATGCAGTTTATTGTAAAATTATGATATTACAGTAAATGTTGGACAATTGTTGTTGGGTCTTTTTCCCCAAGCTTTCTTTTAATTTATTTACAGTCATGAGTTTCCCTGTGACGAAAACTGGTCATCAACCAGTTGCGAATCTTCAGGTAATCATTCATTGTATTAAATCATTAAAAAGTGACATGACTCAGACGTACACTATAATCAATAACATAAAATCAGTAACTAATGTCAATTATTATTTTTCCTCTCTAGATGTAAACAAACATGGAGGAGAGATGACTAGTGTAAACACCTCTGAGTCTCAGTCAGGAGCACTCCAAGATGATCATCAGAAATTACTGGTGAGTAACACCTGTGGCATTTGGATTTCAGAACTTTTACAGATGAGTTATGTATCCAGGGTTTTCTTACAACATAAGCTTTTGTGATACATACAGTGAAGGAAAAAATTATTTGATCCCCTGCTGATTTTGTACGTTTGCCCACTGACAAAGAAATTATCTGTCTATAATTTTAATGGTAGGTTGATTTGAACAGTGAGAGACAGAATAACAAAACAAAAATCAAGAAAAACAAATGTTTATTAATTGATTTGCATTTTAATGAGGGAAATAAGTATTTGACTCCTCTGCAAAACATGACTTAGTACTTGGTGGCAAAACCCTTGTTGGCAATCACAGAGGTCAGTCGTTTCTTGTAGTTGGCCACCAGGTTTGCACACATCTCAGGAGGGATTTTGTCCCACTCCTCTTTGCAGATCTTCTCCAAGTCATTAAGGTTTCGAGGCTGACGTTTGGCAACTCGAACCTTCAGCTCCCTCCACAGATTTTCTATGGGATTAAGGTCTGGAGACTGACTAGGCCACTCCAGGACCTTAATGTGCTTCTTCTTGATTCACTCCTTTGTTGCCTTGGCCGTGTGTTTTGGGTCATTGTCATGCTGGAATACCCACCCACGACCCATTTTCAATGCCCTGGCTGAGGGAAGGAGGTTCTCACTCAAGATTTGACGGTACATGGCCCCGTTCATCGTCCCTTTGATGCGGTGAAGTTGTCCTGTCACCTTAGCAGAAAAACACCCCCAAAGCATAATGTTTCCACCTCCATGTTTGACGGTGGGGATGTTGTTCTTGGGGTCATAGGCAGCATTCCTCCTCCTCCAAACACGGCGAGTTTAGTTGATGCTAAAGAGCTCGATTTTGGTCTCATCTGACCACAAGACTTTCACCCAGTTCTCCTTTGAATCATTCAGATGTTCATTGGCAAACTTTGGACGGGCATGTATATGTGCTTTCTTGAGCAGGATTTCAGTCCTTCACGGCGTAGTGTGTTACCAATTGTTTTCTTGGTGACTATGGTCCCAGCTGCCTTGAGATCATTGACAAGATCCTCCCGTGTAGTTCTGGGCTGATTCCTCACCGTTCTCATGATCATTGCAACTCCACGAGGTGAGATCTTGCATGGAGCCCCAGGCAGAGGGAGATTGACAGTTATTTTGTGTTTCTTCCTTTTGCGAATAATCGCTCCAACTGTTGTCACCTTCTCACCAAGCTGCTTGGCGATGGTCTTGTAGCCCATTCCAGCCTTTTGTAGGTCTACAATCTTGTCCCTGACATCCTTGGAGAGCTCTTTGGTCTTGGCCATGGTGGAGAGTTTGGAATCTGATTGATTGATTGCTTCTGTGGACATGTGTCTTTTATGCAGGTAACAAGCTGAGATTAGGAGCACTCTCATTAAGAGTGTGCTCCTAATCTCAGCTCGTTACCTGTATAAAAGATACCTGGGAGCCAGAAATCTTTCTGATTGAGAGGGGGTCAAATACTTATTTCCCACATTAAAATGCAAATCAATTTATAACATTTTTGACATACGTTTTTCTGGATTGTTTTGTTTTTATTCTGTCTCTCACTGTTAAAATAAACCTACCATTAAAATTATAGACTGATCGTTTCTTTGTCAGTGGGCAAACGTACAAAATCAGCAGGGGATCAAATACTTTTTTCCCTCACTGTAGCTTGACATAACTTTTATGTAACTTTTTCAAATGAGCTTTTGCAGGGCTCATTTGAAAAGGAGACAGGGTTCTTAATGGGACTCCTTATTAAAATAAAGGTTAAATAAAAAATATAATAAAAATTGTGATTTACTTGTTATTGTGGCCTTCAATGATGATTAATGCAAGGTTTAATTAAGTTTTTATGTAATCTACATGGCATGGTAAAATGCCATGGTTAGGCTTAAAGCTGCCAAATGTACCTTTTTGAGCGACCCACCAAATTCACATAGAAATGTGTGTTATAGATCTGTCATTCTCTTTGAAAGCAAGTATAAGATGCAGTAGACCTGTTCTATGTGCGCTATTTCTATGCCTAAGTTTCATTTTTGCGTCTTTTACTTTCAGTTTTGTACATCAGCTTCAAACAGCTGAAAATACAATATTTTTGGTTATGGAAAATATATTTCACAGCGGTTTAGATGGTACAATGATTCTCTACACTAAACTTGCTTGTTTTGTCACATAAACTGAAATTAGGCGAACTATTAGTATTTTAGCAACCAGGAAATGGCGGAGCGATTTCTGCATAGTGCATCTTTAAACAGTTTGGGGTGGCCTCAGAAACGAGAGACTGTGAACCCTGTTGCTCTTTCTCAATATGTCATGTGATCACTGATGTCCGAGCCCTGGTAGTCATTACTTTAACATACTGTACTAGTTGCATCTTTATGACACTTGAGGACATATAATGTTTCCTCTTGAAGGCGTCAAATGCCAAGTATTTATACATATTCCATGACAGGAGCTTAGAGAGGTCTTATATGGTCACACGAGTGACTAAGCAACACATTGCAATGGTTACATTACAAACTGAAACATTGAAATGTTACTGGCCAGAGGCCAGTGCTCATCTGAGATTTGGTTTGGGCTGCCAATATCAAATGTATATAAATATATTTTGGCTTGGTCATGAGCAATATTTAATCGGAACATGCCAATCTAAATGTCATCATCCCCAAACTAGCCTAACCATTGAAGAGGCATTGTGTGAGAAAGCTAAACTGAATCTATCCTTCTTGCTGTTTGACAGATTGAGAGCAGCTGGAACTCCAGCCGGAGAAAACGACAAAAGGAGACACGATTGGCGAAGGTGCAGGACTACTTCACCCAGAGAGAGGATGAGACCCAAGAGAAAGAAAAAGGAGCTGTGGAACCATCACAGTCCCCACAGGAAAGCACATTCCCACAGGAAAACCCTTCAAATGGGCCTGAGGTACAACCACTGCCACCACAGCGCGGGAAAAGGTTTGGGCTGCAGGCGACTTCAGATTCTCTGGCTACGTGCAACAAATTGTATCCTGGTCTCAAGGACAGCACGTCTTTGGAGGAGTCAGTGAAACCTGAGAACATAGACTCAATGGTCAGCTCAGCCCCATCCGAGCTGGGAGGGGAACAGTCCTCACCGATCCCCAGCAACAAGTCAGATTTAACTGCTCAAGCCGCTGCTCTGAGCCAAAATGGTGACACGTCTGTTTCCAAAGTGGAGGGAAGTGCTCTGATGCAGATAGAAACGAAGAAGAGTGGATCTGCCATCAGCACAGAAGGAACACATTCAGATAACACTGTCAAGTTGGAGAACAGCACAGCAGGCTCAGTCCCAGGCAGCCAGACCAATAGCTTTACGTTTGGAAATGTTGTGGCCCCACTATACTGTCAGGTATTTGGTAGAGTGGCAAGTGAGAGCCAGAGCTCAACTGATAGCGGGAATCGAATAAGGAGGAGATTGCATGAAAGGGATTCAATAGCCTGTACAGCCCATAGTTACGTAAAAACTAACTCCTGTGTTTCAGCTGATACCCAGGGGACACCTGAAGAAAAGCAATCTTTTGAATCAAACCTAGAACATTTCACCTCTGGATTAAGTGCAGAAAAAGAGTCTGAACCTGAACCTCTGTCAGAAGAGGCAGGAGGTTTACCCAGGACTCACACTGCCCTGAACACTGCTGCTGCTCTCAGGGCACTAATCCCCAATGAGAACTCAGGCCTCCAGGGGCCTCCCCAGTCCCACATCCACCAGGACAACACGTTTTTCCAGACACAAACCCCAATACCAAACACAACACTTTCACAAACTCCACCAGACACAACACTTTCACAAACTCCACCAGACCCAACACAAACTCTGATAGACACAACACAAGGCAGTCTCTTACAGTCACAAACTGAAATGGGGTCAAAACATGTCTCTGCTGAGATGACTCTGCAGGGGGCCAGTGGTGGATATGAGAGACCTGATGAATCAGAGGAAATGGAGAACCCTTCCTCAGCCAACACTGATAAATGGTCAACATGCACATTCACAGAATTAGTAGACATGCCTATAGCCATGCTAGAGACTGTGCGTGCTGACCTAAAGGTGTTCAGCTCAACAACAGAGTTGAAGGAAAAGATCACCACTGAGCACCACATCTTTGCTGTGACCTGTACGGACACACTGAAGGAAGAAACCAGTGGGACAATGTTAAAAGATGCTCCCATTGTCATTAAGGAATGGACATCATTGGAGAAGTTGATGATGAGAAAACAAACAGATCAAGTGAAGGATGAACTATCATTTGAAGTGTCAAACACCTTATGTAATGAAGAAAACAGGCATTCTATTGACAATGAGGATTATAGTGAGGGAGATGGAGAGATGACAACCTATGTGAGGGATGATTATGATAAATACACTGACAAGGTCCCAAAGTCCAAAGAAGAAGATATTCATAAGGAAGATGAACCGGTAATTAAGAAAAATAAGGAGGATTTAGTTCCTTCAGAGAATGAGAACGATGCTAGTGATGGACAACCATTGCTAAAGAATAATATATTAGAAAAAGACTGGGAGGGGACTGTGGAAGAGGAAGAGGAGGAGATGATAGGGAAATATGTGGAGGAGGGTGAATGGGAAGAAGAGAAGGTAGTTGTGGGAGAGGAGAAGATGATGGCTGGGGAAAAGGAATTGGAAGAGATAGGGGAGGTGGAGGAAACAGAGGAGGAAGAGGAGATGATGGCTGGGGAAAATGAATTGGAGAAGATAGGGGAGGAGGAGGAAACAGAGGAGGAAGTGGGAAAGGAGGTGACCAAGGAGGAGTTGGTAGTAAAAGAGGTGGATAAGGACAAAGAAGAAATTATGTTATGGGAAAAGATAAAAGGAAGGGTGGAGGAAGAGAAGGAGATGGTGAAAGGAGAGGAGGAAATAGAGAAAGAAATGGAGGATGAGATGGTTGTTGAAGAAGAGCTGGAGGAATTAGAGGAGGAGGATGTGAAATGGATAGAGTGGGAGAAGGAGGAGATGGTAGAGGAAGAGAAGGAGGAGGAAGCAGAGAAAGACAAAGTAGACATAGAATTACTAGATGATCAAAATGAATTGGTAGATGAGTTATGCATGCCAATGGGCAATACTTGTGAGGGTAAGGGTAAAGGGGGTGAGAGCAGAAATGTAAATGTCACAGAAAGATCAGGCCCAGAAGAAAATACATTCAAGACGGATGAAGTGTCAATTATTTGCTACAATGAAGCTATCAATTACGTAATGCCGGACACCAAGCATCTTGGAGGAGAGGAAATGGATTCCATCAAAGGAGACGGGGAGTCCTACATTCAAACAGATGAACCTGCCAGTGAGAAAGAGGGTGAAGGTGGGGGCGAGGAGGACAACGCATCCACAGAGTCCCTGTCAGATGATGAGATGGAGCTGTACATGCAGAGTCTGAGAGCTGCACAGAAGCAACGAAACAAGGACTTGAGTCTTGGGAAACGGCCCTCGATAAGTAGAAGAGGCAGCAGGCCGTCCATGCCATCCATCAGTGAGTCTGTGGATGAGGCAAGCAACCAGGATGATCAGCCAGACACAGAGACTGTGGAGCATCGTTCTACAAGTAAATTGCCCCTTGTGGAGGGAGGGCAGGATAGCACCAGGAGCAATGTCATGTGGTGGAGAGAAACATTTTCTTGGCATAATCTCTCAAAAGCACTGTTATACACCGTCCTGTTTGTGGTGTTCTTTTTTGCTGCTTACCATTATGACTTTCTGGCCTGTTTCGGTCTTTACTTGTTATCTGTGATGTGGCTGGTTTGTCAGGGATGAAAGGAAACAATAGAACAGGTTGAGACCTGTGATAAAAAGTGATCCACAATTAAGTTTCATTATTTTTCATTATGCCTCATCTGAGAGTACATGAACTCGCAAATGTAGATGTCAAATGTATACAATGATGGGTGTGTAGCGTACTGCAGAGTATAATGTAAACGTTGACCCAAAATAAAGACGTTAAAGTCAGTATATGCATTGTTCTATCCAAATTCGATCAAGAAATACTGTATATATTTATATTTTTTAGAATATTCTTATTAAAATTATATTAACAGGCGAGTGTGTTATCCTTTAATTAGCTATACTCTTATGAGCGTCACCTAGTTCAAGGCAGACCCTTTTTCAGTTCAATAGAGCACACAATAATATTATTTATCTAATAGAATGTTACGTGCCTTTTCTACACATTGGCCATACTATTGTTGCATCTTGACAGCATGTATGTTATTTGAACACAAAATAGTTCAAAACCTTGCGTTTAAATAACATACCCAGTTACAAGGCTGTGGACCATTGCTTAGATGGATTATTGTTAATAACTTTTATTGCATTATTGTATTTGGTGTGCATTAAACAGATTTTAAAACAGTCTAAATTAGATTTATTTTGTACCAGATGCCTCCAGATTCATAATATCAATGTACAGTATGTTATTACTCTGTTATTTAATAAATAAATATGGTTAACAAAAACTATTATGTCTATGAATATATTTTCTGATAACAGTAGTAGAAGAAAAAACGGTCATTTCCTGCAATCTTTCAACAAATAAAGCAAAAATAAAACCTAACAGACTATAATTGACCACATGCATATTGATAGTACCCTTGGGACACATTATAAAATCATCTGGACATTTCCCACAATGTGACTCATACTGTATGTAGAACTGTTGTGATGAAGCAGGGGCGAACTAGGACCATAAATCGGCCCAGGCATTTCTGACGCACTGGCCCACCAGGGTCAAATGGGCCAGTCCACTAAACTAGTCGGTGTACATGAAATGGGAAGCAGCCCATTAGTCAAATGATGATCATTCTGCACCAAAATGATAATAACATTTCTTAACAGTGCCATTTTTTTTTTACAAAAAAGCCCACTGGCCTAAATATGGACTGGCCCACCGGGCATTTGCTCGAACTGCCCTATGGCCCGTCCGTTTCTGTGATGAAGACATCTCATGCCTTATTCTTACTGTGGTACTCCATCCATCACACCAGTGACATTTAGGAGGTGAACTCTGCATTGCACCACTGGAGGCTGTCAAGCACTAGTGAGTGTGGTTGTATTTTTAGCAGACGTATTCGATTTCAACAATCCAGTGGTCATTCGCTCTCATCTAGGCTTGTTAGGGCTTTGTGATGACACATCTATTTCCTGTTCTCTGGTGCATTACTGGTAGATTCATTAGATACTGTATAGGGCTCATACAATGGTAAATATACAGAGTGGTATGTTTAAACATGGCAGAAGTTATGAAAGTGGTGTATACCTAATAGTAAGATTACAATACTATCATGGGTCAATGTTGATGTATGGTTGATTGGGAAAACAGAAAGTGTGAAAACCATAGTCCATTTCTTACCACATATCAGCTTTAGACGGTTTGAATCTGTTCTCATGTCAAGACAATGCTGTGTATATTAGTCTTTCTGGTGTGTTGAAATGGTTTTCTTGATATACCATATAGACCTAACTGAATGTAACTGAATTCAATCTCTTCGTCTCTGTCCGACTCATGCTTCTGAGAAAACATGGAAGGCTGTTTTCCAAGACGCAGACTATTTTGCCAAATAGAGTGGGATGACAGAACATAAAACGCAGCCTAGTGCACGTACTGTATATTCCCTACAGCGTCACAGTCCAACAACCAATCTGGACGAGCAGATCTCTCTTCACACACTATACAAAATGTAATGTCTCTGTCAAACCAATTGCAGTTATTCACCTTATGATTTAGATAACTTCACCAGACATCAAAGACAAGTCTCTCCCATAAATAAATCACTACAATGATGAAATAGGTGGTCTATACCATAAGCTTGTACTCAATTCGAGTAACTTGATAGCTAGCGCCTTGGCGTCTTTGAACTTTGAACTTTAGCTGTTGGCTGTGGTCGGGGTAGCACAGCTGCAACGGCTTGTCAGGGGCTTTCGGGGGCGTCCTGTGTGAGGATTATCACACCCTTTAGCTGTGCAAACGAACATGTGGACATTTTTTGCCACAGAGATACACAATTACATTTTTAACAGGGCAGACACACAGAGAGCCTCTTCTATCTGTAGAAAGAGAAATAAGGGCATGTTTAGCTAACATGGCAAATCATATTTTCCTTAATAGCTTCAATTCTCATCTACAGGTTAAAAGGGGGATTTATTTGTGTCCATCAGCTACATTTGAGCATTGTCAGGATATTATGCAACATGAGTTCCATGAGAGCCGTGTGGTTTGTTTTTAAACCATTTGAAGCCATGTGGCTGAAGTGGCTGTGTACGTCTGAGGGTGAGGTGTGACATTGGAGTGACATTAGAGCCGTGCATCATGATTATGAGCGTCATGCACCTAGCCAGGGCAAGGTGTGGATATCATATTCACCCACTGAGACTCATCATCATGATAATACGTCATCAAAACAAATGTGCTGAAGATCCTTTCCTCTTTCCCTACTGTGTGATAATGACGGATGGAATGTTTTGTGATTATTAGGATCTTTCTGTAAGTGCCTGTTACCCCTGCCTGATAAACATGTCTCACTTTCTTACTGCTTGGTAACAAGTGTAGGGCCAACAAACATGTGACTTGTTACTTTGTGTGCCAGTACACGTTAGCAGTCTATAACAATCAATGCTCAAAATACAAAACACAATTCTTTTGTGACACCATGGGTTATTCACTGGGTCAATCTTTAAGGCATTTGGGCATGGAACTTTTGGGAAAATGAATTTATTTGTATTGATCTATACAATATATTGAATGCTTTTGTTTACTTTCTAGCATTCAAAATAATAGCTAGATACAGTATCTCTAAATCCCAAGAACATGTCATAACTCTACTCATCACTACTGGGACAAGCCAATTTGCTTTACTTTAAACATGTTTTGCAGTATAGAGGACTTGCATTATGTTTTATCATTAATTAACAGTTCAATATAAACAAAAACATGTATGATGTGTAACTATTTGTCATTTTAAGTGTTTTTCATGGTTGCAAAGCTGAAGGGAGCAAATGCCACCGCAATTCAAAAACGACCCCACGACTAATTGCTGTTTACAGAATAAATATTTACTGTAAACATTAAGTTATGACGCAAACACATGATGCTCAGTGTGTGTAAAGGTTCTCACATGCTGCTGCCTATGATGTCAAAATGTGGTCACCATGGTGGAATGGGACAGGCCTACAGTGAGGGAAAAAAGTATTTGATCCCCTGCTGATTTTGTAAGTTTACCCACTGACAAAGACATGATCAGTCTATAATTTTAATGGTAGGTTTATTTGAACAGTGAGAGACAGAATAACAACAAAAAATCAAGAAAAACGCATGTCAAAAATGTTATAAATTGATTTGCATTTTAATGAGGGAAATAAGTATTTGACCCCTCTGCAAAACGTGACTTAGTACTTGGTGGCAAAACCCTTGTTGGCAATCACAGAGGTCAGACGTTTCTTGTAGTTGGCCACCAGGTTTGCACACATCTCAGGAGGGATTTTGTACCACTCCTCTTTGCAGATCTTCTCCAAGTCATTAAGGTTTCGAGGCTGACGTTTGGCAACTCAAACCTTCAGCTCCCTCCACAGATTTTCTATGGGATTAAGGTCTGGAGATTGGCTAGGCCACTCCAGGACCTTAATGTGCTTCTTCTTGAGCCACTCCTTTGTTGCCTTGGCCATGTGTTTTGAGTCATTGTCATGCTAGAATACCCATCCATGACCCATTTTCAATGCCCTGGCTGAGGGAAGGAGGTTCTCACCCAAGATTTGACGGTACATGTACCCGTCCATCGTCCCTTTGATGCGGTGAAGTTGTCCTGTCCCCTTAGCAGAAAAACACCCCCAAAGCATAATGTTTCCACCTCCATGTTTGACGGTGGGGATGGTGTTCTTGGGGTCATAGGCAGCATTCCTCCTCCTCCAAACACGGCGAGTTGAGTTGATGCCAAAGAGCTCGATTTTGGTCTCATCTGACCACAACACTTTCACCCAGTTCTCCTCTGAATCATTCAGATGTTCATTGGCAAACTTCAGACGAGCATGTATATGTGCTTTCTTGAGCAGGGGGACCTTTGCGGGCGCTGCAGGATTTCAGTCCTTCATGGCGTAGTGTGTTACCAATTGTTTTCTTGGTGACTATGGTCCCAGCTGCCTTGAGATCATTGACAAGATCCTCCCGTGTAGATCTGGGCTGATTTCTCACCGTTCTCATGATCATTGCAACTCCACGAGGTGAGATCTTGCATGGAGCCCCAGGCCGAGGGAGATTGACAGTTATTTTGTGTTTCTTTCATTTGCGAATAATCGCACCAACTGTTGTCACCTTCTCACCAAGCTGCTTGGCGATGGTCTTGTAGCCCATTCCAGCCTTGTGTAGGTCTACGATCTTGTCTCTGACATCCTTGGAGAGCTCTTTGGTCTTGGCCATGGTGGAGAGTTTGGAATCTGATTGATTGATTGCTTCTGTGGGCAGGTGTCTTTTATACAGGTAACAAGCTGATATTAGGAGCACTCCCTTTAAGAGTGTGCTCCTAATCTCAGCTCGTTACCTGTATAAAAGACACTTGGGAGCCAGAAATCTTTCCGATTGAGTGGGGGTCAAATACTTATTTCCCTCATTAAAATGCAAATCAATGTATAACATTTTTGACATGCATTTTTCTGGATTTTTTTGTTGTTATTCTGTCTCTCACTGTTCAAATAAACCTACCATTAAAATTATAGACTGATCATTTCTTTGTCAGTGGGCAAACATACAAAATCAGCAGGGGATCAAATAC